GAAGTTCATGTAGTCACTGGCTTTATAATGATTTTATAATTTAGGAATTCAAGCTTCAAATGTACAACTGAGAATCTTTTCATATAAATGTTATTGCCACAAATTGTAGACTAGTCAGAATTTAGGCATTACTGCTTACAAATGATATTAGAAATACAAGTTCACTTTAATTTGCAAAAGAGTTGAGTTTTGGTGTACAAGGGGATTTCAAAAAATTAGTGAAACCTTGAGTTAAAATTTTAATTTATCGGGGCCATTAGGTGGTGTGGTGGTGAAGGCATTAGACTCTCACATGGCTGACCAAAGTTTGAGTCCTAGACCTGGTGGCTTATTTTCTCATTTTCCCTCTTGTTCTCTGGTCAAATTTAAAAATAATAATATAAATACATAAAATTAAATAAATAATTCTTTTTTAAAAAAGTAAAATTTGAGTTTATCTTGGAGCAAAAAAAAATTTAAACTCATGCATATTTTTCATAATATGAACTTCTCATTAATTTTTGAAGACTCTTCATATTTTAAGCATTCCATATGTTTCAGGATCTCACCACTATGTAAATGAAGTAAACACATGCTATGGTTTGAATGTTTCTTCCCTCGAAAACTCATGCTGAAATTTGCTTGCCTCTTATAGTATTAGGGGTTCCTTTATTAAGTGATCAGGTCATGAGGTCTGTGCTCTTATGGGTAGAATTAACGCTATTAAAAAAGGGTAAGCTTGGTCCCTTTTGTCTCCTTGCCATTATGCCTTCCACCTTGTAAAGACAGAGTATTTCTCCCCTTCAGAAGGTACAACAAGATCATCAGATGTTCGTGCCTTGATCTTGAATTTTCTAGACCCTAGAACTGTGAGCCAATAGCTATCTGCTGTTATAAATTACTCATTCTCAGATATTGTGTTACACCAGCACAAATGAATTAAAATACTACTCAAAAGAATAAGATTCCTTTAGAAATCTGCACTTTAAGAAATAAAATTGGACTTATGTTCAGGCCAGTGGTGCTAGCAGGATGGGCAAGTATCACAGTCTTCGTAATGCCAAGAAGCTCTGTCGTCATGATGGGACCAGGAATGGCGTTATAAACAGTACAAAAAATCCCACTTGGGTACAGTCCTGAAGGCTAACCCTTTTAGAGGTGCTTCCCATGCGAAGAAAATTGTGCTAGAAAAGTAGGGGTTGAAGTCAAACAACCAGATTCTGCCATCAGAAGTGTGTCAGGGTCCAGCTGATCAAGAATGGCAGAAGATTACAGCCTTTGTACCCCATGACAGTTGCTTGAACTTTATGGAAGTAAATGATGAAGTTTTGGTTGCTGGATTTGGTCAAAAAGGTCATGCTGTTGGTGACATTCCTGGAGCCCGATTTAAGGTTGTCAAAGTAGTCAGTGTCTCTCTTTTGGCTCTATACAGAGGCAAAAAGGAAATACCAAGAAAATAAATATTTATGGTGGAAACAGAGTAGTAATAATTTTCATATGCAAAACAAAAGAAGAATATAATTGGGAAGACTGGAATATACACAGATTTACTGTATCTCCAAAGTCTGTTAACCGAACAGTCCCTTCAGGTTTTTCAATATTTCAAATAAAAGGCAGGAAAACAGAGTCACAAATAGAAGCTTATAAGCATTTGTTGGAGCTAATCACTCCTGACAAGAAGATGGGAGGAAAGGAATAGTTTTCTTGACAATATTCTCAAAGTGTGCATTTTGTAAGATTATTCAGCCATACTATAGCTACCAGAAGAAAAACAAAACAAAACAAAACTATTCACTCAGTATTTCATCCAATGTATTTTTACTGAGAATCTATTCCATGGCAAGCATTAACACAGAAGCAGACAGGACAGAAACAGCCCCTACTTTTGTGGAGATGTAATGGATGTTTGACAGCAGCTTGTTACTGAAAAACAAAATAAAACAAAACAAAACAAAACAAAACAAAACTGAGTTTTGTGACTCATTCACCAATAATGTGTCTTTATCATTTAATCTGCTATTATAAAATATTTCCCAGGTCTGGATAATTATCTTTCTAATGTGTATTATGTGTCTCATAAGATACCAACCAGCATTTCAGATTCATTTCCATTTGAAGGACTAAAAAGTCTTCAGCACTCATGAAGCTTCAACTTCTCTCTTTCCTCTTTTATTTCCCCTTCTCAGTCCTTATTCTTTCTCTTCAGCATTTCTTCTATCAGCTAATATCACCACCATCTACTTGGTCTCCCAAAAAAGAAACCCAAGAACCATCCAAGCTTTCTTCCACCTACCATCAACATATCCTGAACAGCCTGCTTCTTTAATATCCTTAGCTCTAGAATCTTTTTCCACCCATTGCCTAAAAAATTCAAATAGGTTTCCAATGGCCTCTAACTTAAAAATTCACTCACTATCCCTTCCACTACCAATGTAATGTTTACAACATTTAAGTCTGATTTCAAGTTAAAGACGAGGTGTCTTCCTCTTCCTAAACTTTTTAATAGTGCTCATCAACCACTGAAGTCCATTCCCAAGGACCCACAAGATCAACATTCACAGCCCAGCACCTCCCTCTATATCCAGGTTTGTGTGTGGTTCTCTGTGATCTAGGCTGGCTGAGACTGGAGTAGATTATAGTGTGGTGCCTGTTGGGACGTGTCGCTTCCTCCCTCACTTTCTTTCTCAGAGGAAATTGATAAATAAATTTTAAATATATATATATATTTCAGAGTATTGTGTGTGTGTGTGTGTGTGTGTGTGTGTGTGTTTGATAGATTTCTATAAAATAGAGGAGTGGGATTAGAGCCTTCAGTTCTGAGGTGTAGTCATAACAAGAATATTAATAGTTTGTGAGGTCAAGGAATTAAACATATTGTTCCTATTTAATGTTGTAGAGTCTATGATAAATATGAGAATGTGGAAATAAGAAGGCTAAAAAAGGAACACTTAGCCTGAATAAAATAGAAATCCGGTTCCTTTTACATGACTGTGAAATGTTTTATTTCAGTAACTTAATTCTTACTTTGTTGAACTCTAGTTTCAAGGCTATTTTTAGAGGAAAGACTAAGAATGAAAGGGACAAAGATATCCTTATTTTCTGCCACCCAGTTCTTACTTATCCCATGTAGATGCGATGACACTGGTTCAAGAAATGTGGCTTTTCTCAGCAGCTAGTAGAAAAATAAATAAGTAGCTTAAAAAATGCTAAAGACACACAACAGATGCTATTGAGAAGAGTAGAGATGTAATAGTGATTAGGCATAACAAATAAGACCAGCATGCAGTGAGAATAACAAGTTTCCTAAGAAAATCCAGGGGGAAGGCTAGAATTAGAAAATGTTCTAAACTTCTTCACTTTATGCTGAAAGTTCAAAATCAGTTCACCCCTCATCACCAACCGATAGGTCACCATTACAATTTTAAATATAATTTGATATAGCAATAATTTTGCAATGTTTTCCACTGAAAATTCAGACATATAAGTTTGACTGGTGTGCCTGCTGCAAGTTGATTCACTGGGAGACTGATGCACCTCCCAGGGAAAACCCAAATCCATTCAGTAACATACACAGTAAGGAGGACCAGCAGTTGGTATAATGGCTATGTCGCTGGACTCCCATACAGTCGACTGTGATTTGAGTCCTGGACCCGGTGGCTTAAACTCACGCCAGGCATGTGTGCGCGCATGCCCAAGATCCCAAGAGGAGAATGGAGGAGAAGGGATTGCAGCATGGCCATCCCCTCTGGGGTAGGGGGGAGGTGTGATTTCTCACTTTCTATCTTTCTGGTGAGTGCACGTGCCCTATAGCAAAAGCCTCTAAAATCAAAACAAAACAAAACAAAACAAAAAACATACACAGTGGGTTAGGGAAGAAAAGACTGAGCATACTATCATTACTCAGATTTGTCCTCTGGCCAATGCCTTATGCACTGATGTTTTGTTTTGTTTTGTTTTGTTTTGTTTTGTTTTGTTTTGTTTTGTTTTGTTTTGTTTTGTTTTGTTTTGTTGATTCACTGGGAGACTGATGCACCTCCCAGGGAAAACCCAAATCCATTCAGTAACATACACAGTAAGGAGGACCAGCAGTTGGTATAATGGCTATGTCGCTGGACTCCCATACAGTCGACTGTGATTTGAGTCCTGGACCCGGTGGCTTAAACTCACGCCAGGCATGTGTGCGCGCATGCCCAAGATCCCAAGAGGAGAATGGAGGAGAAGGGATTGCAGCATGGCCATCCCCTCTGGGGTAGGGGGGAGGTGTGATTTCTCACTTTCTATCTTTCTGGTGAGTGCACGTGCCCTATAGCAAAAGCCTCTAAAATCAAAACAAAACAAAACAAAACAAAAAACATACACAGTGGGTTAGGGAAGAAAAGACTGAGCATACTATCATTACTCAGATTTGTCCTCTGGCCAATGCCTTATGCACTGATGTTTTGTTTTGTTTTGTTTTGTTTTGTTTTGTTTTGTTTTGTTTTGTTTTGTTTTGTTTTTGTTTTTTGTTTTGCCAGTGGAGGCATGTACTTGCCAGAGACAGAATGAGAGAGAGAGGAGAAAGCACCCCTTCTCTCTGATCGGCAGGGTCACACCATAACCCCTTCTCCTCTTTTCCTCCATCTTGTTGGGATTTTGAGCATGTGCTCAAGATGCCTGATGTGTTCTTCAAGCCACCTAGTGGTTAAGGGAGCCAGATACCACACGACCAACCACTCAGTTCAAGTGTCAGTGATTTTTTTTTTTAACTGCAGTACCTTCTACCCCATTTTCTTTGATTAGATAGCTCCTTGGATGTAATAGAAAATAACTCTAAGATGTGTAAACTTACATTCAAACTAAATCTTCATAATATAGGGAAGAGAAAAAATAGAAAATTTGTCAGATATTTAAACCAGTTATCTAGAGATTTGAGACTAAGAATAGGTCTACTTCTGTGTCTGAGTGTGATGAATAGAACTATGAGCCATTTTATATCACACACAGTGCATAATAAAGTCTCTCCAAACTAAACATTCGATAAAAATGTTTCTTGGCTTTTTAGCTATAATTAAGTGTAGTATCAGTTCCTATCAGTTTAAAGCCTGATATGTTGTCTTTCACTCGAAGACAATATACTAAGTGGATTTTTGGAGCAGGGGGATAGCGTAGATGCTTCCTCCATCTCCACACATCACCTTGGTATTGCAGTACCTCCAGGAATGGTGTGCTAAAAAAGGATAAGAGAAGAAATGATGAAAAAGATGATGACAAAGATGACACTATGAAATATCTTTATATTCATTCCACAAACATCTGTTGAGTATCTATCAAATGCTAGGCTATATGCTGTTGCTCAGCAATAAAGGTAAGGCTGTCTATTTCAGCTTCCAGACGGGGGAGCCCCTGCATTAGTATGTGCTGGGACCAGTGTCCTCACACCTTGCAGAGAGGGCAGAGAGTCACTTGTCCCAGGTCTGCAGAGCATAGAAGTCAACAAAAATTTAAATGTAAAAGGTAGTCTTAGTATATCAAAAACAAAGCCAGGCTGACAAGGCAAATTATCTTCCAAAGGGGATACCAGCTGAGAAGAGGAAGCAATGGGTAAGAAGCAATGGGACAGAAATCAAAACAGACAAGAGGATTCATGTTATACAAACAGGTAGAGAAATCTCTGAGGACAAGTGCATTTTTCATAATGCTTCACAGAACTTATTCTGCAGAGTGAGGGAAGTGGACAAACACCACCCTTGCCTTCCAGAAGATCACAACCTGGCAGAAGAGAGAGAGAACACCCATCTTATTCTGCACATGTACATGTCAGCTCCACCCAACAGCTCCCTTAGGGCTGGAAGCATACTTTACTGTAATGCTCAGTGTGTGGTGTATAGATGCATGACAATAATGAAAATTGATTATGTTAGCTAGACAAAGGAGGCTATAAATAAAGAAATAGGACAGGGAAGTAGGAAAGTGGAATGCTCCAAAGATGGGGAGTCAAGTCATGTGGTCCAAGTGCTAGACTCTGCCACTAACTAGTTCTAACTTGGACAAGTCATCTAAGCTCAGCTTTCATGATGGAGTTGAAGATTAAGTTGATTAGACCACCCTCTCCCACCACACACTTTTCTTCTTTTTCCTTTTCACCATAAAATGAATTCATCTATTCTTAAATCAGATTGGAAAGTCCTTTCTGAACTTGCCGTTCTTCTAACTTAATTGAACAAATTCAACAGTGTTTTATATCTCTTGGCCCTTTAAAAATTAACTACAATCAAAGCATCTGCTTGAACAGAGTTGTAAAAAAACGAAAAAACCAAACCTTAAATCCAAGCGATATCCTTGCAATATTTCTCTTGTGGATACATAAACTTTTAACCTTTTACCTTGAATAGAGTTTCCATATTTGCCCTATTTAATCAACAATAAATGTCAGATATGTCATTCCTTGTATTTATCCGTTAGCAGCATACTATAAATTCCAAGTAGAAAGGGATTTTTTTCAGCCTTTCCACATTCTACTATGAGAAAGAGGTTAATGCTAGTTTATCAAAATAATTTATGTTTTAAAATTCCTTTAAGAGCAGAAATAAAATAATAATATCCTTTCCTTTTTTAGGCTTCAGCAGTTTCATGTGCTGTACAGAATAGATGTACTAAAAAGGAAAACTATAATTCAGCCTTACTAATATTATGACATATTTTAAAAATTCTAAAATGTCAACATACATAAAATCTCTATGACTTTGTTTAAATGGATATTTCCTAAAAATTGTATTCAAATATTTTCAAAGAGATATTAAAATCTATTGCTATTTTATTGTTTGTAGTCAGTATTAAGATATAAGATTAAGTATGCATTCACAAAAGGACAGAAGAGGACCATTTGTATCACAATAAAGACCTACAAAGTGAAAGGAAAAAAATAATCCAAATAAGGTAAAATAACTTTGGAAAGTAGAACACAGAAAATTCTAAAAATCAACAAAATATTATGGAAAGTTTCCAAACTCACAAAAGTGGGAGAGTGATGGTCCACTTCTTTAAATTACATTTTGAAACAAAATTATTAATTTTAGAGGAAATTACTTCTAATTTCATGCTCATTAATATACTCATCTTGAAACTTCATCAGCCTTGATTAGCCAAATGAAGTTTCCAGGAAAGCTAAATTTGAAAGGAAAGAGAGCGAAACTTGTAGCTGAAAAGAAAAAAAAAAAGCTTCACATCTGTGTCCGCATCTGAAGTTGCTCTGTAAGATCTGATAACTTGTTAGAAAGCAATCTTTTGCAAGGCAGTGGATTTACATCATACGTTTTTATCTCTCCAAGGAAATTCTAATTACTGGTTCCAATCATTTCTGATTGATTTGCTTTTTATTCATCCAAGGTATTCTTGCTCTATGATGAAATCAAGCCTCCAATAAAATTTCAAAAATCTCAGAACAATTTACAAGCTCCAGATGACTAAAAGTTTTCTCATGTCCGTTTGGCATTAAGAAAAAGACTTTCACCAAGTACATTCTGAAGAATACATCTGGCACTCACTAAAACAAAGAACTCACAAATGAAATAGTTGAGGCAAATTACTGTCAAATAAATGCAAATTTGCCAATATTCTTTGAAGCCAAATCTGCAATTCAACCTCCATGTATTTCAGTGAGTCTTATTCTAGAGTACATGCTACCAGTCACATGGGTTAAAGTTTGGGCAAAGTCTAGCATCCATTTAATAAACATGCATTATTTTCTGTGAACAACTTTGTAATCATTTATGTATGTTATGTGTTTTATTAGAAGAAAAGACTTTGCATCTACTGAACGCTCACTTAAGTTTACTCTTTCTCTTGGCTTAATGCTGACTCTATTTTAGTGACAAAAGACAATATAGAATCAAAGAATTTTAGCACTCGAAAGAACATTAGAAACCATCCCTTTCAAGGACTGGTTCTAACCAAAGCAAGTATATTAGAAATCCATATGTGTGTTCACCACAAGAATATTTTCATGGATAATAATGGTAAATTCAGCTATTCAAAAATATTGAACTTTTGAGCATCGATATGAAAGCAGCCTAAGAAAACAAATAATTTTATTCTTCCAGAAGTGTGTTCCAAGGCTACCAGCAGTCAGTGATCAATTTGTATCAATTCACTAAGAATACTAGTATTTTATAATGAGCTCTCTGTAAAAAACAGAGGTTTGTTTGTTTGTTTGTTTGTTTTCCCATCAGTTCTGGCTCTAGCAATAGTTTCTCCTTCAGCAGCTTCATGTAAGAATATGCTTTTACAAACCAAGTGGACCCTAATATTGTCCAGGTTAGCTACATGACTAGAAATTGTAGTCTAATTCTCTAATTTATGTTGGTCTCTAACATGAACAGGGATACCTATGATGGGTCCTTGTTGGACACGGTTAATTTTCACCTCAACCATTTTTAAAGTTGAGCCACATTGACAGGACACTTTTTGTTACTATTGTTGTTTGTTTTTATTCATGATAGAGTATGTGCACACACTTAAGAGAGAAAGAGAAGCACCCTTCATGGGTCTTGTCATGATTCCTTTCCTCCAGTCCTCCAGTCCTCCAGCGTGCCAGGGTCCTAGGCACATACATATCTGGCATGTTTCAGGTCAGCTGGACTGGGGACTTGAACTATAGTCAGCATGTGACTTTCCAGCTGCAGCTCCACGGTCCAGCATGCCACTGACTGTGTCACAGAGGCTAGGCCTGATAGGACACATTTGATCCAGACACGTACTTCAAAGCACACACTTACCGCGGGGAACAGTGCATGCTCACCAACATCTGTGAATCTCTTCTGAAATGGTGACTTTTTTTTTCACCTAATAGATCTTCAAATATTTAAAACCTCATGTTCCCCTGAGCTTATGGCAGTTTAACAAGGTGAATTTATTGCAATGTCCAATTGCATTCTGTTCAAACTGTGCATCCAGTTTGAAACTCTGAAGCTGTGCTCCATTAAAGAAATCATCCATGCCTCTCTTTTCTCCCTGCAATCCTAAATTCAGTTGGTGGTTGGCAGAAGAGCATTTAGAGCAGGAGTTCTGGCACAAGGCTGTCTGCTTTCGAACCTCTACTCTGCTGCTCAGTAGCTATGTGACCTGGGACAAGTTACTTAGCTGCTCTGTGCCCTGATTCTACAAAGTGCTTGCTCGTTATGGTTTCTGGCACAGTGTAAGTGCTGTATAAGTGTCAGCTATTACTACTTACTATCAGTCAGAAAGTATAATTTTATAATCCACTTGAACTCCTAAAATTTCGGTATCTCAGAGCCACTTATTCCAAAAATGCCTTTATCTCAAGATGTTGCTCAGTATGAGCCCCTGCATTTCCACAACCCAGCCATTGAACTACAGCAGACTAAGTGCCTAGACCTTACTCCAACTAAATATCCCATAAACCAAGGATAGTTAAAAACAAAAACATAAAGAAAATTTATATTGTGCCTAGGCACAACATAGCATGAAAGCTAGAGTTCCTGCACCAGGAGACATCCTCATACTTAATAACTTCTTTCATGCTATTATACAGTGAATCAAATTCACTAATCTCATGGGACAGACCAATGAGTGACAGACCACAATGATCAATAACAATAAGAACAATAGCAATATTTTATATTCAAGGTACTATGATAATAGAGTTATTAGCCATTCTTTTACTTAATGTTCACAAAATTATTCCCATGTCATACATGAGAAAACTGAGGCCCAGAGAGTTAAGTAACCTCAAGTTCAAATAGCAGGTAAGTGGCAGTCAGGACTGGAAGCCCAAGCTCTCTAGCTCCAAACTTTATGCTTCTCTGCCCTCTCATCATGATTGTCTTAGGATGTGTCTTGTTCCTAAATCAATAACTCTGACTCTCGGAGATTTGATCTTATGACTGGCAGGACCTGGGCACATGTTCACCCATAGAGTCAGAGAAAAAGTTAGCTCCATGTAAATCACATGGACTGGAAGTGCTCTAGGCCATACCATGGTGTAAGGATTCCAGGATAGGTAAGTTTCAGCCGTACAGCCCTCAGAGACAGGCCTGAAGTCTGGCAGTGTGACAGCCAAGGTAGAATGGGCTGTCTTCCTGTCAAAGGAACATGAAATTGTATTCTTCGTATCCCCAGTTTCATCAGCACACAGAAACAACTTAAATCACTACAGCAGGCAATAATTCTGCCACATCCCCAGGCCCAACGACTAGGTTCCTGGCTTTGATATTC